AAATCACTTTGCAAAATGAAAAAAAATTGTCAGTGTGCAAACAAAATGTTCGGCGTGCAAAATGTCGTGTATAAGTGGTGTGTACAAAGTACAAACAACATTTCGTTTTAAAAATGCATCAAATTAACTTGTATTACTATTAACGCAAACTCCTTTCAAGACTAAATTTAATAATTTGAAAATCATGTTTCTTAATATTATGATTGCATATGCAAGTAAATTTATGAAATATTCTAAATTATACATCATACATAAATGATAATCACTTTTCTTTTATTCGGAAATTGATTTATTCTTGGAGCAAGTTTTCGCGCATGATTAATCATAACACATGGGATTTTACATACTTTTCAATTCACAAAGAGCTAATGCTCATAATTTGTATATGATGAGGGGATTTGACGCGTTTAACTCGATGCTAGTGTATGAAAATATGACACTGGCTTTTATTAATGATTTAAAGTTTTTGTGTACGCAAAAGTTTGATGTTTGTTATAGTTGGGATTAGAGACGAGTCATAAGATGAAGTCAGGTTGACTACGAGCCCATTTTATAAAATACATTTTAACTGAATTAAGTTTAACGTATTTATCATTCATTTTTATCAAATGCATAACTTTATGAATCTAGCTCTTCACGAGCAGCAGAGCGTCACAAGCTCTTGCATTCACCTTGAAAATCGAGGTTTTAGAACAAAATGCTTCACTAACCAAACCATAATTAGTATAAGTAAAATTGTAGATACTTTTGTGGCTGAAATAACTGAGGTGATTAAGGTAAAACATTTTAATGTTATTTATAATTTGTATTTGACTGTTATTGAATAGTTTATATAATAAAAAATACTCCGTAATACAAAATCATTATACAAACTATATCAAAAAATAGATGATAATAGGAATACTTACATATTTATGATTAAAATAAAAGTTGTTTACAAAAATGTGACTTTGGTGACTACGCGGCTTTTTTAGTGCACCAATAGAGGAAGTTATGTAAGTTCTTCCAAAAAGCGTACAAAGCCTCTTATGTCTCTCTTAACACATTTGCTTTTATCGCGGATGGGGTGAGGCAAAGTCGGAGGGATGAGCTCAATCCTTGAGGAGCTACTCTTACCACTTAATCAAGCACGTTTTTTAGCAAGAAGGCTTGACCTCAAAGGTGGTAAGGGGAATCTCCCTTAAGCTGTGGTACTTACTACAAACATTGTCATCACTGCAAAAAGATACAAAATGGATGTCTCTGCGATAACAATTTTTGTTAGTGGCCTAACTTTTGTACTTTCAAATTGTTCAATATTATTGTTCACACAAACATATTATATCAGAGTTTTGGATGATACAATTAGCTTTTTACGATGACATCGAAAATAATTCTGGCAACTTTTCATATCTGATTTGTTTTCTGGTGACTTTTAATTATTATTTTTTTTCAATTTTATATTCATACAGACGAAATTTATCAATATTTCGGAAGTCGCAGGCGATTTTTATATATGGTACAAACAATAATTTTTATTGTTGTTGACGGCACTAATGTTGTGTGTGTTTCAAACTAAATTCAATACTAGCGCGAATACAGTAGTATAGCGGGTATTAGAGTCTATATTCACAGGGAAAGTTAATTCTTCTTGTATGAAATTTTAACGAAAAAGGTTTTTTTTAAGATTGTTGAACTTGAGAATATTAAAATCGAAATGCCAGGATTAATGAATTATGTGATTTAAAACCAATGAGATAAAGACTTTGATGGATAGTCTACCCGGGGGTATATATCCAAAGGGTTATTGCGGAGATTAACTAGAGAGAAGTCAGAGCAAACAAGTAAGAGAGAGAGAGTGTATTCAGTATGAATGCCGTTTTCAGCGTGCTTACAAATGGGGAAATGGGGTGCTATTTATAGTAGCAATAAATGCCGGACAGGGACACGTGTCAAGCGCTCATTGGCCGAGGGGTCACCTCAACTGGTTGGCGCTGGCAGCCGCATGTGGCCGCATTTAATGCGGCTGTTGGATGGGACGTCTGTGCAGGGTACAGTGATCTGCACGCATGTGAAGCGGATATCTTGTCGGGTGAGATGCCTTCGGCTATAGAGCAATGGCCGAGGGCTCCTCCAACCGATGACACTCTGGTGCCGAGGGCTCACAGTGCCGAGGGCTACTGTTTTCGCCGTTTTCTCCCAGTTTCTTAATTTGCTTGCGAAGCCCGTCCTGTGAGAGTTTAGGGCCTTCGGCCAGGGGGCCGAAGGCACCCCTGGCGCGTAGTGCGGGCTGCTTGGTACTCTGGGCGCTGCGATCTGGGCCTGTTGGACCTTCTGGGCCTGTTGGGCCTCTAAAGGAGTAGTAGGAGTCTGTGGGCCGGGTGTTCCCGGGCCATATACTCCATCAGGAGTCCCTCACTCCTTTTGCCGAAAGGTACTTGAGGGAAAAGGAGTAATTTGTGCTTGCCTTTTGATGTTGTCCCGTCGTGATCTCTGAAGTTGGTGAGGAGTTGTTGCTTTTATGTCCCTACCGAAGGCAGTCCCTCAGTTACCCACATGTCGGGACTTGAGGGCTTGCCTTGTCGTTTGTTGGAATTTCACTAATTTTTGTAATTTAATGATTTTCCCGAGGGGGTCCTCCAGTCCCCCACTCCTTGAGGCACTTGTAAAGTGGTGAAAAGGAGTAGAGTAGTTGCGTTGCTGTTGTGGGCCGAAGGCTGACGCTTTTCGTTTCATTTTGGGGGGATGCCTCGTTAAAAACCTCATTAGGAAAAACCCTGGGGGAAAAATCCTAATGAGGGAAAAAGAGTGCACCGAATTCCCCCAATGATGAATCGAAAATGTCAAACCTTGGTCAAAAATGGAGAATACGGTAATGCCGAAGGCTCTTCTTTTCCTGAGGGCTCATGTATTGATCAGCCGAAGGCTTGCTGTTGATATCCTGGGGGTGCCGAAGGGGAGCCCCTCAATCCGGGGATCGAGGGTCTGCTGGATGAGGGCAGTAATTTAACTGTCTCCGGGGGGTCCACTGTTTGTTGATTAGTTGGTGATGAAGATACCCGAGGGCTCCCATTACCTGTGTGCCACGGGTTATCCGTCAATGAGGTAACTCCCCGGGGGCTACCCGGTTTTGCAGCGCTGAGGGGGAATCCCCGAGGGGTGCCCTGATATGAAGCCCTGGGTTTCTGAGGGAGTGATCCCGAAGGCGTCTGTTATGTGCTGTGTGGGGCACAACCCGGGGGCGCTTCTGGGTAAGTGTACCCGGAGGCTATCCTTGATGAAGTGGAGTGAAGTAAAAAACCCGGGGGCTTCTAGAATATAGCCGTTGGGAATATAGCCGTTGGAACATGTAGCGTCAGATTTATAGCCGTTGGAATATGTAACGTCAGGTTCATAGCCGTTGGGGGGGGGGGGTACACGTGGCGTGTGATGGCTGGCAGTCCGTGGGCGGCGTCACCGGTTGGGCGAAGACACGGTGTGTAATGATGGCGTCCATCCGGAGGCCCAGTTTTCGGGCCCAAGCCCGGACTCTTGGGTCTATAAATACCCCGGAGCCAGAGCCATTTCTTCCTTACGTGTCCAAAAATCCTTAGCGAAGCTCTGCCAAAAATTCTAGAGAGAGAAACTCAAGCCCTCGGTCACAGCACTTTCAGAGGTTAGTTCTCCCTTCGCTCCTCAACACTTTTTGCAAGTTCCACCCTCTGGCCTTAGTTTAGGGTTAGGGTTCCGTAGAAATCCTTCGAAACCTTAGGCACATTTTGTGGCAAAGAATGTCGTCCGAGAGCGATTCCCAAAATATATCGAGGGAGCCCTCGGTTGAGGATGAGGTTGCTTCCGATGTTGAGTCAAGCAGCAGTGCGCCCTCGGTTGCCGATGACGAAGCCGTGGCCTTGGAGTTGCAGAAGGCCCTTGCTGCTGAGGTGGAAGCCGAGGGCTTCGAACAGGAGTGCGAAGATGAAGAACTAGCCCTCGCGTGTCAGGTGGCGGAGGACGAAGCCCAAAAGGAGGCGATGATGGTTACTGTTGTTGTGCCACCCCCTCGGACTGACTGTGGTGAGCCTAGTACCTCCAGGCCGTTGGACCCGACGCCTCTGAGGATAGCCCCTGGTAAAAAGAAGACAAAGTCGCAGAGGGCTGCCCCTAAGAAGAAGAGTGTTGCCGCTGGTGCTGGGGGGCCTGTTGAAATGCCAGAGGGGTATACCTGGCTAAACACCGAGGCCCTCGATATTAAGTCGAAGGCGGACAGGGTTGACTTGTACGTCACGCAGCTGCACGTTGGGCCCTCGGCCGTAGTGGTGGAGCCAGGCGTCGATGATCTGTTGTCCCGGCCTCCGGAGGGATGCATTGCCGTCCACATCCTGTCAGTGTCCATGGGCCTCCGGTTCCCCCTGCATCCATTTCTCCGGGAGTACCTCCGGTTTGTTGGACTCATCCCCTGCCAACTTACCCCCAACAGCCATTCATACATTGCCGGCTTTCTGCACCTGTGCCGGACGAGGGATGTTACCCCAAGCTTGGACCTCTTCTTCCAAAGCTTCAAATTGTGCCGAGGGGGGCACGCGAATGCCGAGGGCTTCGCCAATTTGCAGCAGGTAGCGAAGTTCAAGCTGTTTACCGAGGCGCCCTCTTCCAACAAGGGCTGGAAAGACAGATGGTGCTACATCCGGTTGTCCGAGAATCCCTTCCCGAGGGAGCTACGGGACCGCTTTCGGCGCCACGAGAGGGTGGGGAGTGCCGCCCTAGAGAGGGATGGCCTGAAACTCGCCAAGATCCCGGAGGGCAAGAAGAAGGTCGTGACGATCAAAGAGTTCAATTTTGAGGAAGACTTGCATGCCCTCGGGTTCCAACGGTACCGGTTCATCGGGGAAATAGATGAGAAGTACCCCGTCTTCGCTGAGGCCTTCGGGGGAGCAGGAGGTAGGCTACGAGGGCCCTTAGTCTCCTACTTAGGCACTTTCATTTTGCATCCCGATAGTTGTTTGTGGTATGAACCCTTCGGGTTAATATTCTCTTTGCTTTGATTTGCAGGTATGGAGGCTCTCTTCGCAATGAAAAAGAAGAAGGAGAGGGCGCAGGCCCAGAAGAAGGAGAAGACGGAGCTCTCGGGTCAAAAGCCCATTGATGAGGTTTTCCCGAAGGAGACCGCAGAGCCTTCAGTTGCTGCTGCTCCTGCTACTACGGCCGGGGGCCCGAAGGCTGATGTGGCAGCCAAGAAGAAAAAGGGGGGCAAGGGGGTGGAGCCCCCGATCAAGAAGCAGAAGGTTGTCGGGGGCGCCGTTGAGAAGGCGGCCCCCCTCATAGTACTCGATGATCAGCCCTCCGCTGACCCCCCGGCAATTGATACTCCGATGGCTCAAACAGACCTTCCCCCGGGGAACCTGCCTCGGGAGATCATTCGGCTCTCCCTCGCTCCGGGGGCATCTGTATTGCACGGTTCAGCCGAGCCGATGTCTTTCCTGAGGGGGATTACCTCGATGATGGACAAAGAAGCCCTCTCCACCTATAACGATGACGCCCTCGAAGCCAGGGCTCTTCGATCAGCTCTGACTGTAAGTGTTTTTACTTTGACTTGATCTCAATACTTAGCATAATCCCAATGTCCGTCTGAACCCTCTGTCCGTTATTCAACAGGCGTGCATAACCTTCGGTGAGGAGGCCCGAAGGCGAGAGGAGTGGTGCCGTCATAAGGCCGAGCTAGAGAGGTCCGTGAAGGAGCTGATTCGCGACAAGGACGCTGCCCTCCGGGAGGTGTGCAAGTTGGAGGATGCCCTTCGGCAAGCGGAGCTGCGGCTGAAGGAGGCCAGAGAAGACGGGAAGGCCGAGGGCAGGGCTGAGGCCGAGAGGGTTGCGGCCGAGGAGAGAAAACAAGTTGCCGAGGACGCCGAGAAGGCCAAAGCTGAAGCTGCTGCCAAAGCCCGAGAAGAGGCCATTGCTGGGTTCACCTCCGAGGGCTGGAAAGCCGAGGGCCAGAGCGAGTGGGTGGCCTCTGTGGTGAAGGCCTCGATCGAGGAGTGGGTGAGGGGCCCCGGGCTCGACTGGATGAATGAGAGGGGTGACACCTACTATCAAGCTGGCGAGTTCTTCACCCAGCACCTGGTTTACCGGAGGCTCGCCCGGCATTTTGGCACCTCCCTGGATGAGTTCAACCCCTCGGTGTACGGCCTCCCCCCGTTGCAGCCAGATGTGCGGGCCCCCCTCCCCGAGGGAGAAGAGCGCCCGGTGATTCATGATTCCATGATGATGGGCGTCGATGATGATGCTGAGGACGCCACCGGGACGGAGGTTACCTCGAAGCCATCGGGGGAGGGTGCCCCCGGGAATGATGTTGTTGATGTGTAATATGCGCTTAGAAATCTCTGAACACATTTTGTAATGAATAACTTTGATCCTTCGGCTTCGGCCTGTTTGTAATTTCACATTTACTCTTGTTTTTGATGAATGCATGCTGCCTCCGGGCTCTTCATATTTGAATGCGCCTTATGTTTTGAATGTATGCCTTCTCCTTTGAATGTATGTTTTAGGACTTAGAATGTTTTCTGATTGTGGCTTGCCCCCGGAAGCCTTCGGTAGCTGGGCACCCTCTGATGGACATACAACCGAGGGTTTAGCAGGAATTGGGACTTAGAAATTTTTTCTAAGTGTAGCACAGCATGAGGCCTTCGGGCGTTTGTAGTAACCCAAATCCTAGGACTTAGAAAAATTTCTAAGTGTAGATTTCCCCTTGAAAGCCGTCGGGATATGGCATCCCTTCCTGATGTGTGAATGTTGGACCGAGGGCCCAATGTACAGGACTTAGAAATTTCTTGCAAGTGTAGTATGTCACGTAGCCTTCGGCTACTGGGGAATCCCAACTGAAATATTGAATAGGTCGGGGGCCAATTCTTTAGGACTTAGAAAATTTTCTTGAGTGTCGATTCCTTGTGCACTGTAGCCCTCGATTGATAGGTAGCCTTCGGCTATTAGGTCCCTTTATAAGATGAGGGTGAAATATGTAGGACTTAGGAAGATTTCTAAGTGTAGATTTTCCCTTGGGAGCCTTCGGGAGATGGCATCCCTTCTTGATGTATGAGTAGTTGACCGGGGGAAAATATGTAGGACTTAGAAAATATTCCGAGTGTAGATCTTCCCTTGGGAGCCTTCGGGAGATGGCATCCCCTCTGATTCCACATCACTCTGCGAGACGCCCGGGGGCTGCTCATTTAGGACAGAATATTTTTTAAGCGTTGTTGTATTACCTGGCCTTCGGCTACCATATTCCCTTGGCAGTAATATTGATTGGGCCGGGGGCCCAATCTTTAGGACTTAGAATTTTTTTCGAGTGCTGCTTCCTTGTGTAGAGCCTTCAGGTGATAGGTGGCTTCTGACTCTACATTATTTTGCGAGATGCCCAGGGGCTGCTCATTCAGGACTTAGAATTTTTTCTAAGCATAAATTGATGTTGGATCCTGTTGCTGTGAAGAAAGCCAATGAGGAGTGTGTGCCCTCGGCATACGCTTTAAAAGTTGTAGAAGCTGACTCTTGTCATGGGGAAAGGGCCCTCGGTACTAGTGCGTAACAGAGGCCTTCGGTATATGTTTGAAGGTACCGTCTTAGTGTACTTTGGATAGTCCAGTTCTGTAAGGAATAATTGTATTTAGATTTTGATGATGCTAGATTAATTAGGACTTTAGAGTACCCCTTTAGAAATTATGTATTAGAATTTTTCCTTTGTAAAGTTCTTAGATGTATTCGACTTGACAGAAGACCTTCAAGAGCAGAAGGGCTTCAAGAACAGAAGGACTTCAAGGGCAGAAGTGCCTCTTGAGGCATTATTGAAACAGAGGACCTTTGGTTCTCTGCTCCAGAACAGAAGTCCTCAGGATCTCTGTTAGTCTTGACTCTGACAGAAACCCTTCTGGGTCTCTGTTGGATACTCCCAACAGAAGTGCTCCAGACCTCCTCTGTTCTACTCTCAAACAAAGACACCAGAAGGTCTGACACTTAGAAGATTTTCAAAGAACCGGGAAGTCAACTAAAAGATTCCTTCAAACGGCTAGGAGTATGAAACGGAAAAGCTACAGTGCATGCATTAAATGCTCATTTAATGCACCCCATGCTACGTAGAGTAATTGCAGATGATTGGCCGGAATGTCAGGAATAATTTATCCCAAAATAGTAACCCGCCAACTTTATCGGGTTCTACTAGTCAAGTCAACTGATCGCGCATTAAATGCAGTTGTCCTCCTACTCCTCCAACGGGAAGACAACCTCAGTATAAAAGATACACTACGAAGAACAACCGGATAACTTTGCAACTTTTGCTAACCTTTGCTACAACTCTTCAAGCAAGATATTCAAACTCTGAAAAGCAAAAAGCCTCCTTGAGATTCAAACTCACTATCCTCTACAAGAGAAGGCACAAGTTGGAAAAATACTCTTTCCAACTCAAGCAAAGTTCCAAGTGTTCTTCAACTCTTCAAGCTCATCACATACAAATATTTTGTAACGAAGCTAGTTGGAGGAACCTCAGTTTCAACAGAAACTCTTCTTGCTACAAGAAGGACGTCCAAATAACTGGAGTAGTGAAGTGGTGATACTTCAAGGAAACTCAGTGAAAGGACCAGTGTTAAAGGAAGCCAGGCAGTGCATCCCAGGACACATCTAGGCTTGAAGAATACGTGGAGTGCTTCTTAAGTACTAGGACTAAGGCTTTGTAAACGACAGTTTTTACAGCTTAGTGGAACAGTGGATTAGAGGAACGAGTTGTTCCTTGAACCACTATAAAAATACCTGGTGTCGTTTACTTACTGCTTTTAATACTTGAACTTAGTTAGAACTGTATAACTCCTTGGACTTGGTATCTGTGTTCAGCAGAACTTGTTCTACGAGTTAACAGAAGGCCTACTGCCTTTGCTTCTCTGAGGCTAACAGAACTCCCTGCCAGAACCCCATCCGCTGCCAGTCTGTTCTTTCAACAGAACAGGCTATTCTGTAAATCTGGTACTTAGCTTAAAAAGCTAAAAACCAATACAGTCTATTCACCCCCCCCTCTAGACTGTATCCAGTATAACCGGGACCAACAAGTGGTATCAGAGCCTCCTTGTTCTAATAATCTCTTAGGTTATTTGTTGAACAAAGATCCACTTGTTTTTCTGTTTAACATCATTTCTATCTGATATAATGGATCACTCCTTGTCCAAGAATCTTATGTTTTCAGATCTTAAGTTTGATGACTGGAGGATTCGGATGAAAGCACATCTCTGTGCCCTGCATGATGAAATGTGGGAAGTTCTAGATATTGGCCCCTTCACAAGCTTCCAGAAGGTCAATCCTGAACATGCCATAGACAACACCAGACCCCAGATGATCAGCAAAGCCAAGTCAGAATGGACCACTGAAGAGAGGAGAAAGTACAACCTAGACAATATTGCCAAGGACATCCTCTACAAGTCCATTGATGATAGGTACTTCAACAGAATCAAGAAGTGCAAGACTGCTAAGGAAATCTGGGATACTCTTGAGCTCATTGGAGCTGGTGATGAGCAAGAGAAGGACAACAAACTAACCATAGCCAACAAGAAGTTTGATGACTTCAAACTTCTCCCTGGTGAAAGCATCTCCAAGATGTATGACAGGCTCCTCACTCTCACTGGAGAGATCTCTGAGCTTGGTAAGGATCTCACAACCAAGGAGATCAACCTGAAGGTGTTGAGGGGACTGCCCTCAGCATGGAAGATGAAGGTAGTTGCTGTCCAAGCCAGCAAGGATGTAAAGACTTATCCCACTGATAAGCTCATTTCAGATCTCAAAGCTCATGAGTTTGAAATGATTGAAGAGAAGGAAGATGTACCAGAAGAGAGGACCACTACAGCCCTCACTGCCAGCACATCTAAGGTAAATGATTTTGACCCTTCAGTACTTTTATCTGATGAATATATGGCTGCCTTTGCCAGGAGATTCAAAAAGTTTATGAAGAATCCCAAAGATGGAAGGAGTCCATCTTTCAACAGAAAGCCATACCAGAAGGTCAAATCAACAGAAAGCAGTGGAGAGCTTCTCTGTTACAACTGCAGACAACCTGGTCACTTCAAGGCTGATTGTCCCCATCCTAGAGTGTCCAAGAAGCAAGGACAGGATGGAGAAAAGAAGAAGTACGAGGACAACTCCAGAAGAAGAAAGGCACTTGTGACAGAACAGCTGGAGAAAGACCCTCTGTCAGAAACAGAATCCAGTTCTGACTCAGATTCTGATGAGGCCTTCTGTTGCCTTGATACTGAGACAGAAGACCTTTGCCTCATGGCTCATTCTGATGATGAGGTAACCTCTACTTCTGAATCTAGTTTTTCCTCGGTAGGCTTAGCTTTTGATTCTGATTCAATGTCAGAATTTTGGGAAGAGTTTAAGGCCATACAAGCCACTTATTCCTCTGTAACAGAAGAAAACAGTAAGTTGAAAGCTGAAATTCTTGACTTAAAGAAGGAGGTTGAGATCAAAATCAATCTTCTAATTGAGGAAAGAGATCAACTGGAGACTGAAAATGTTTCTCTTCTTAAGAGAATAAGAGAAATAGAGCCTCTCGAGATTAAGTACAAAGCTTACCAGAAGGCCCAGTCTTCCATGGAAAAGATTGTGCTTGATCAACAGATTGGCACTGGTTTTGGTCTTGGTTATGGATCAACAGAATCAGGTGAGCCTTCTGTAATGCCTAGCACCAGAGTTGCTAAGGCAGATAAGGTCATAGAGCCACTGATTTCTAGCCCCATCTGTCAAGCTGGTGTATCTGGCACCAAGGTTGTTCATGAGGAAGTCAAACCAGAAAAGGGTAAGATAAAGGTTCAACAGAAACCCTTTTTGAAAAATAATGAACCTGGCAGAAAACCTAACAACAGAAGAGGTTTTCAAAATAACAAAAATAAAAGACCATTCATTGACAGACAACCTCATGTCAATCGTACCAGAAATGATCACCAGAAGGGCAAATATCAAGAGAAAGTTAACTTCAGGCAGAAGAGGTTGGCTGGTCAACTTCAGAAGCCCAAGGTTAACCGTCCCTCTGCTCTTGATAGTATATGGGACTTCTTTCCAACAAAGAAAGCTATGCAAAAGTATGTAAACAGGAAGCATGACCCTCACAAGCATCTTCCCAAAGTGAATCACACTTCAGTTTACTATAACTACCAGGTGGACAATGGGTACCACCCACCAAGGTTTCACTTGATGAGACCAAAATGGTACCAACTACCCAGACTCCATGACCCCCCAGGACCCAGCATTGCTTGGGTACCTAAATCCTTCTTTTGATCTTGCAGGAACTGTGTGCTGGAGCCATCTCTGAACAAGAATGGTTTATTGATAGTGGATGCTCCAGGCACATGACAGGTGACAGAAGTTGCCTAACAGAGTTCTAGAAATGCAAAGGACCTAGAGTTACCTTTGGAGGTAATGACAAAGAAGGTCAAACAAAAGGAAGAGGAAAGCTGATCAAGAACCAGATAATCATTGATGATGTCT